TCTCTTACCCATCTGAACCAAGTCTATTCTGGGCTTGGAATAGAGTAGGATTCTCTGGAATAGAAAGGGAATGCATTTTATCTTTTTTCCTTAGGGCAAATGAATGGACAAAGGCACTGCTATACACAAGGAAATACAAAAAAGCTACAGCCTTTAATTTTCACTCACCTTGTGCTCAGACAAGGCTTTTGCTGAACTGAGCATCAGTTCTTGACTTAAGTCTTGGGATTACCTTTTTCAAATTTATTGTTGTTTGGAAGAGTCTGTTTCTGTATTTGTATATTATTTGTAGATGGCTCAAGTGTGGAGAATTAAAACCATGTAAGATTTAGATCTGAAATGATCGGATGGTAAGCAGCAGGCTGTACTAGTGGTGGGTGCACTGTGGCTAAAAGTATGTGACTGTGCTTTGTCATATCTAAACACAGGAGATCAAAATTGTCCCCTATAAAAAATTTGTATCACTGTCCATTTGGACATATCCAGAAACATGATGCTATCACAATTCAGAGACAAACAAACAAAAAAATCCTTTGCTGTTTCTTAGTGTTATAATGCTAAGCAGCTTGCCATAAATCTATTCTGGGTTTTCTCCTCAGTTGTTTACAAAGAGGTTTTTCTCTGTATATGGTTATTTTCATCATTCAGTCTGTCCATGTCAGTTTATTAAATAAATCAGGAAAGACTGTAACAACAATGCTTCAGGCATTCATAATTTGACTGAAATAAACAATTCCCAGACACTATTGGTCCATTATGTTAGTCCATTATGTTCACAGATAGAAAGATTTAGAAACAAGTTATCTGTCTGGAGAGTTACTACAGACAGTTGTAGGGGGGGATATTGCACTGCTTCAAAAGCACTTGCTGTAGATCTGGCTCTTTAGACTCAGGGGTAAGAGAGGTTGCTAAGTGATGCACTTGTGCCTGGCATAAACCCTTTGCCAGCAGGAGACTAAAGACATTCAGTAACCCAAGATATCTGCACACTTCATTGTAGTTCCAGGCACAAGAGCATATAATATTGCCCCACCAAAATACACTATATATATATTTAAGCACATGCATGCATGTATTCGTACATGTGAGGATTAAATAGGGGAGATGTACTGGTGTAACTGGTCATGACTTCTTCATGATGATATGCTTTCTTGGCAGTTGTAATAGTTCCTATTGTTTGTGCCTTTCTCCTCGTGCTTTCCATTTCTCCATTTTTGTGATTTATTTGAACCAAAATATTTTTTGCTTCTTGTAAGCACCCCAGCCTTCCCATGATGGCTTGGAAAATTTCGCCACTGGTACAGCCAGTTAAGTGTAAAGTTCAGAGGTAGCCTGACCCGGATCTGGATACAGCCAATATACATTTGACATGGGCAGCAAGGGTATTTTAGGCATTTTAACATAAGCTTGCATGTACAAAATAGTTCTTATTTTCAGTTACAAGATTTTTAGAAAAAGCAACAGGGTTTGCAGTACTTAGGGGGTGCTGAGCTTCCCTCAAAGGCTAATATTAGCCAGCTTTTTTTTTTTTTTTTTTCAATTGTAGAACTACACTGGTTTAACGAAGATTGCCTCCAGGACAGCAATTCCCATATTTACAACTGTTACAACAGAAAATGTACTTACCATGTTTATGAAAGTTATTTGAAGTAAATACAGCACCCTCGACTTTTGATGTCTTTTTTTTTTTCTTTTTTTCTCCATAATTTCATCACTTTTGCTCTTTTGCCTAAAGTTAACAGCTTGTAACTTTTGCTAATTATTTGTCGTGACCAGCTTGCAGTTCTGCCCATTCTCAGCTGGTTGGTTTGGTCCGTATTGCTTATTCTATGTCTTTTCTTTGAATGCTGCTTTCAAGCATTCTTCACACATTTTACAATGTATGAGACTGGAATTGATTCACATGATATTGTTAATGTTAGTGCTGTAAGCAGTTAAGAATCAGTACCAATCACAGTAAAGCATTTAGACACTCATGGATATGTATATTTCTCAAATTTTTAAGAATTACTTGAATAAATAATAAAAATATTTTTTATGACATTGAACTCCAGTCTTCCTCACTTTTCTACTGTAGCTGAGGTAATCTGAGAAATTTTTTTTTTTTTTTTTTTTTTTCCAAAAGCCATTGTATAATAGAAAAGCTCATGATAACTCTAAAACTTTAGCATCCCATTTTCTGCATCCTGACTTTGGAAATATTAGTACTAATTTGCTGGGTATCATGTGTGCAATATAGTTATAAATATATATTTATTAATATATTTGTATTTAAAATGATAACGTCCTACTTCAGGAACATTATTTCTATACACTTAATATGGCATGATATGTAACAAAATAAATTTGTATTTATACTTACAAATATATTTTTTTGCTTTTGCACTAGGTTATATACTATAACTTCCAAAAGGTGATATAATTTACCTTCTTTGTATGAGAAGCATGTTGTATTCCTTTAAAAGTCTTTGTATTTTTACGTCACACTGTACGCTAAAGGAGCAGTGATTGAAATCATTGTTGTCAAAGAAGAATGTATTAAAATTATTAATAAGACTTTAACCCACATGAGACTTACTAAATCATCTGATCTGACCTAAATTTATGACCCTTCCTCCCAGTTCTTTTCATTGCGTACTTGCACAAAGATGTGAGGATGGAAAGGTGAAAAAAAAATTACAATAAAGACCAGTGAAAAGACAATAAAATATCAGAAAAGACAATAAAAGACCAGTTAAATCTACATAACATTTTGAGATATAATACAAACAAATAAACTATAAGGGCAATCACATCAGACCTCATTTCAAGCTGAACTATTATAAAGCGATTAACAGCCTCACACTCCTGCTTTAATTAAGTTATGTTGTGAAATAGTCAGCATTTGAACCTGTTCTGGCCTGCCTCTTTTATCTTTGAATTACCATCCTTAATGTGTTTTTCTGCTGAAAGATGAATTTCATTTAAGGATTACTGTACACTGTTCTGGCATTTTGTGGTTTCTTGTCAGCCCTTGTGAATCTAGATCATAGCTAACTTCAGTTCCTCTGACATGTCCTATATGCACAGTCTCTTGACTAGCCTGTCTCAGTAGATTTATTAACTCATATTGTATTCCTGTGGAAATGAGTGGACATTTTTGATTAACTTAATGATAGAGATTTCAGATGACAGCAGAGTTTACTTTTGGAGCTTACTTCAGGTTATGTAGGCCACTGCAGCTCTCTAGCGACCTATCACTTCACAGAAACACATTTTGAAAGTTTCAAGGCAGTGGACATCTCTCTACTGAATACTTTAGGATGGTTTTAGCAAGGAGGGACTTTAAATGGTCCTTCAGACCAAGGGAGTCTAAATCCAGTCCCAGTTCAATATCATGGTGGCTGCTCTTTCCTTTCCTGGGGTTGATTTCTGGTCATTGTATGTGCCTGCATATTGCTGAACATGCCATCAGAAAAAAATCATGGTACTGGATAACTTTGAGAAAGGTACGAGTCAAGTGTTCCATTTACCATTCTCACCATGCCTTGCCTGGACTAGGGTGATGCAACTTAGCATGGCATCATCAGTTTTGGTGGTGATTTTTCACTCTCAGTTGTCTCACAATCAGGCTGTGCTTTCAGGGAGAAGAGTGTGCAAATCAGTATGGTTAAGTTCTCTTAGCTAATTATATAAATGTCCTTAGAGGGAGCTCACCAGACCTGAAATGTGTCAAGAGGCGGGGGGGATTTGTCTGACTCCTTGTTACCCTACTGATCCATCTGCTATTGAGGTGGGTGGCAAGGCACAGGTTCCTGATGCTGTATCTGTTCCCATATGGATATAGTACCACAGGGTTGGCAGACAAAACTAGGAACTCATAAAGGAGACTCTCACCCCAGCAAAGGGCAAGGTTTGAACAACTTAGAGTTGGCTTCTAACATGGTAATCACATGCTGCAAATTACACGCAGCTCTGACACTTACTGAAAATACTGGTGGTTATTTATTTATTTATTTGAGTGAAGGTAGTCAAAAGTCCCTGCTGGTGAAAATCATGGCCCCCAGTTGCAGCTGAAATGGACAAAACAGTTGCAGAGAAGGATGCAGTGTTCACAGTGAACCAATCCCTTCCTACTGTAAACTGGAGTGGTGTCTCATGGGGAAAAAAGAGTTATACTAAGGTTTCCCTTGCAAAAGTGAAGGGTTAAAACACTTACTTTTGAGTGGGAGTATAAAAAGAAATGCTGCTCTTTATCAGTTCTAGTTAAGGATATGAGGTGCTTAAACTGTGTGCTGTGTTCAAGATGAAATTTTGAATTATGCTCAGCCTGCATACCGAATTAACATGGAAATGGTTAAATGGAAGTTCTGACTGACACAAGAAGGTACGAAACCTACCCAAGCAAACGTGTTTACAGCTAGACAGGAAACTAGGTAACTGTGTCAATACATCTGCTTTATACAACACACTAAAATACACCTTATTCACTCTTCCTCATCTACAATTCAGTAGCAGCACAAGGTTATTTTAATACTACACAGAGATCAGAGACTAAAAAGTGCTTATGGGTAAAGGAGCAAAGGCTTCTCAAAGAGAGAAAAACAAACACTTGTTCACAAAATTATCAGTAAGATTTTTTTTTTTTTTAAAACAGCATTGCCATTTGATTGTTTAACCTACCCTGCTTGATTTCCCTACTTTTCGTTAATACAGGAGTCAATTACAGCTTCATCTGTGCAGAATTAACTTTATAGAATATACACCAGGGATTTGTCTAGCTCCTCTATTTAGATCTATGTCATAAAAAATCTGTAGTAGAGAACGGTGTGCAAGCCCTGCATATGGTACAGGCTTTGCAGATTTATTGTAAAATCATTTTAAATCGGTGAAGCTCTTGCCAGAAGTTAATTAAATATGTTCCTTTTGTCGGGGGGGGGGGGGGGGGGGGAGGAGGGGGTGGACGACGACTCTGTATGTGTGCGCATGTGTGTGTGTGGGGGGGCCTTCTGTCTCACTAGGTGGCAGTGTATGATTACATCTGGAAGGACCATGCCAGCAAGTCTGGTGTCCCCATCTGTGACCTCCAGCACCAGGATGGAATCTTTGACTCGGCAGCTACCTCAAGAGGTACCACTGTTCACATGTCGGTGTTCACCGTACACCTCAGCGGTTTCCAGCAACTCTACAGACACTTCCTCAGGCTGCCTGATGGGGCTATTGTTGAGGTAGGTCCAAGCAGATTATTTACATCCAGATATTGAAGGCAAAGGCATGCACTTACGAAGTAGGTCAGGGTCAAAGCAGGAAATAGACCCTTCATGAAGTATACACTGAGATCTTCTATAGGAAGACTTCACTCCTAAACAGTATTATAAAATTAATGAGTTAATGCATTTACCATGCAAAGTAATAATTTATTATAGTTTATAGAGTAATTTAAGTGAAATTATGGAAGATATATATTGAAACTACACACAAAAAATATTTTGTAAATATATATTGCTAAGAAACACATAAGGTTATTCTATACAGGAATTATTATATATAAATATACTATGTAAGCAGTGTGCACAGATATGCAACTACAGGTATGGTAGAATTATTTATTTTTTCTTCAGACACAGAGCTGACATACAGTAATCATATGACTTACTGGCCTCTTGCAAGTTTTTGATTGAATCCTGGATGTTGTCATATTTTTAGGCCCACTGTAAGCAGTTTGTGCACTAAAATTCAATGCAGGATGGTAGTTAAAAAATATTGTCTATTACGTGTTTCGTAGACTCCATTTTGTTCCTTGAATTGATGTTTTGTTCCAAGTGCTTAGAAGAGGTTCATTTCCTTGTTGCCTTGAGTTGAGAGACCTTACAAACAAAACAAAACACTGGCATCTAAGAGGAAGAAAAATGAAAGCATATTACTTTATCCACCCAGAGAAGTGGAAGCATCATTTTAGAGGTCTGCTTACTATAGGAAGCCAGCACAAATGGTGTTGAAATACAGATTTTTCAGTTGCTCACTTCTAAATTGAAGTTTCAAGTATATCTTTCCAGAATGCGGAAAAAGTTGCTTCTGCTCCTCTGTTTAATGTTGTGAGGCTGCTTTCTTCATTAAAATATTTTACTGTTAATGTCTTTGCCCTACTTGGCTTTTAAAAGAAAATTTAATTTAAAGGAAACAGTCCTCAAGGAATAATACTGTGCCCCAGGAACTTGTGATTCACCAGAGTGAAGACAGCAGAGTCCTAGAGCTGGCCAAAGAAAACAAGAGAAGGCATGTGGCCTACATGAAGTAGAAATTAATTATTAACACAAAAAAACCTGCAAATCCAGGTCTGTGCCTGAGTTTGTTACCAAAGCTCCTTGTACAAATCATTTGCCAGATTTCTGCTAGAAGGCCTTTTCCCTGTTTTGAGGTCAACAATGCAGCCCCATGCCTACTTCCCACCTGTTACAAATGATAGCTCTGTGCAGAATGTTTTGTCCCAGTTAAGTTCTCAGCTTTTTGGACATCAGGTTTCATCCTCCTTCCTAGTAGGAAGGTCTTCAAGCATGTGTCACCAAGCTTAACTCGATGTACTGGTTCTGTTCATTAATCCTTTCTGTATATCTGTTATTTTCCATATAATTTTATTTTGGTTTCCCAAGTGAGCTTCCCAGAAACTTCCAGCTTCTAAACTGATGCTGATCAGCATCAACAAAGTTAGCACTGTGTAACATGAATGGCTCAAGCCACTTCTTTATAGTTTCCCATATTATACCACAATGCTGTCTTTGCCTAAAATCTGCATGGCTGTGTCTTATGTCAGCATCTTGAAAGATGTTCCTCTAATTTAGGAGATCAATGCATGCTTTGCTGCATTTATATTTGTAGACCTAAATACAATTACAATTCAGAAACATGCTCGACTAATAATTTCAGTAACACTTACATCCTGATCTTACATTTAGCCGATAATGAATGTAATGTTACATTTGTGTGTTTTATGGGTCATGGCTTTCTAATTCAGTCCCTAATTAGGGATGTTTTATAAGTTAATGAGTTTTAAGACTATGCACTCACTAGTGGTAAGTTATATTCCATTTGTACACTGAGAGGAAATTTTAAAAGTCTCCCATTTTCCATATTGCATTGGAATCTCTGTGGGAAAGGTTCCATTTTCTCTCTGGTACAAGAACCAGGGCCTTAGCAAGAACAGAGTGAGAAAAACCCATTGTGGGTCTGTTATGGGGTTTTGTCACTTGCTGCTGTTGCTGCCCTTCAGGAATAATATACATATAAAAAAATAATATATATATATTATTTTTTTTCCTCATATAACTGCAGAATACAAAATGTAATTCAACAACATCTAGGAACTGGGGGTTGCATGAATCTTCTTCCTGCAAAACAGTCCTCCTTTTTAGTACAGTAAGCCACTGAGGGTGAAAATGTAATTATTTCAGTGTAACTTCTTGTTTGTTTGTTCACTTTTATTAAGAAACTCTGAGGACATGTAACTCTGAAGACATTAAAATGAAAAGGCTTTGGCTTTTTAATTTCAATGACTTTCTGGAATCATACCTGAAAGAGCTGTAACACCTCTTCTTAATTACTAGAATGGGACCTCATTAATTCAGACATTTGGGGACTGATGTCCTTCAATCAGATGTGCAGCACCTACTGTTGTTACAGCATGATTGCTGCTTGGTATTGGTAGTCTTCCACAGAAACAATGTGTATTTCAATACTACAAGAAAACAAGCAGTTTGGCAGAAAACAGCACAGAAACTTTTAGAAGTGTGTACAAATGTAAACATTGTTGAGAGCATGAAATGTAGTTTATTAGCATTGAACTAACTGAGGTGTATGTGCAGGCTAGCGAGTTCTGGTTATTGGGGTGGCAGTATGTCCCTCCTCAAGGATACATGACATATGAGAACATTATTTAAATCACAAGGACGAATTCTTCCTCAATTTCATGTGTCCAGCTCTCAGTGACTTCAACCTCAGTGCTTCAAACCAATCTTTCTCTATCTGCAAATATTCTTTGACAGACATAAAAGGAATTCTGCATAATTTTGCTTCAGCGTCCTTGGCTGCTTGTAAGGAATTTACACTATATTAGCTACCTAATACTAATCATTTTTACTTCACTGAAAAAAAAAAGGCAAGTTTTTCTTACAGTCCTAGTTCAGCAAGGAACTCAGTGTGAATTTCTCGTAAGCCAAGGAGCCAAAAGTCACTTTGATGTTATTATTATTACTTTTTTACGGTAAGTGAGGCCTGCTACTAAATGCTATGTACAGAAGTATACTGTGCAAGAATAAATGGTTCTCTATGTAATAACTGCTTTAAAATATGTATATTTTTCTAGGGATGGTATTCCCATTAAAGGTCTAACTTTGCTGGTAGATAATATATGTGTATTTTTATACACACACATGCACACATATATATATAGTCTGGTATGAGAAGTAGTTTTATAGGTTTCCTAAGCAGAAAGCAAAAATAACTGTTTTAAAATGAACATTAAGTACAAGGTGACACGTATAAATTGCCATGGAAATGTTAAATAAAAAGATTTTTTTAATTTGTAGCATAAAAATTATAGAGGTTAAACTTGTAACTGTAGTCCTTTTTATCATAAGCATTGTAAAACTCTAAGAATTCTCATGTAGTAAAACCCATTTTCCATTTTACCTATAATATATTTCTCCTTTATAGTTTTCAATTTAGGTGTTGGTTAACCAAGAAATGACCTTCCCAAAATAAATCACTTTTCATGCTTTCCCTCATTCATTAATCTTATGTTATTGTAATATACAGGAAATTATTTTTAGCATTTTAAATGTATTTGAAATCCGTGCACAGAAAAGTTAATGATAGTGATAACTGTTTAGCTGTCTACATGGTGATAACACCAACTTGGTGATTTTTATCTCAACTTTTGCTGACTGGAGTTGATTTCTCATTAAAAGGTCAAAGATAAGTCACTTTAACTCAGCAAAAAAATCAGTTTCTTATTAAAGGCCTAGTAAAGCTCAGCACTGTAGAAAAACTTTTAGTATAGTATGATTTTATCTATCAAATAAATCTACACAAATGACACAAGGATTCATCCGATTTAAACTTCCTGGATAAAAGAGGTCTGTTTTCCCTAATTATCTGAGAAGTACCTAGTAGTAATAGGATAAGACAGCATAGGTGACCAGCCAATTACTTAGTTTAAGCTATTTACATCAATCCATATGCTATAAATTATGTCTAAATTCTCTTGCATTTCTGGAAAAGTGAATAAAATCATATAAGTTTATTTTGAATACAAGATCAGATATGGTATACTGAGTGACACTTAAAAAGAATGAAACAGTAACCATAGCTTATTTTCTGAAGCAATCTTGACACTAATGCTAAATTACAGCTTGGAAACATCTAGCATTTTACCTTTATGAGAAAAGGCTTTTTACATATTTAACGTAATTCTAGGGAAAATATACTGGAATTATGTATAAAGATATGTACACTGTAACCAAAGGGCATTTATATTCCCCTGTAGAATACTTACAACAATTTTATTGCTATTTGGTGTCATTTTCTAACAGATATAAAATACAGCCAGTAAACAAACTAGACTTTAGATTTAAGCTGACAGCTGTTCTTTCAGAAGCAATATTCAGATATTTAATCTTAAGAATACTGAATATTTTACAATTGTTTGAGCAAACCATATCTTTAGCATGTGAAGGACTGTGTGTTTTTATATACAGTTCTTGGATCTGATAATGACAGTAAAAACCAACCTTAGAATAATCCACAGATTTGTCACTCCAATGTATTCCCTGGGCAAATCAACAAATTGCCTCATGTTTTATTCTTAATTCCACAAATTCTTTTTATATACTCAATGTTACTATGAATACTAGTCCTGTTTTTTTTTTTTTTTGGTTTTGTTTTGTTTTGTTTTGTTTTCCCTATATGTACGTAAGCCATACAGCTGGCACCAGTAGAATTTATGCATGTATCTGAGTGCAGATTTTTCTGGGTCTAACTTTGGTAATGGAATGAATTGGCCAAGTTGAATACAGAATCCCCACATACAGGTTGCATAAGGAGTGCTTACTGCAGTGGTCACTAAAGATTTATGAAGAAGTGAAAGAAGGAGGATTGCTCTAGTTCAGTGACTGAAATCGATGTATTACCTTATGGCATCATTGTCAAATGGCCTCACCATATCAACAGACCCTGCAGAGGGAGCAGGAAAGATCTGGCCTTTCTACACCATGTATTGGATAAGCTGAGGTGTGTAGTGAAGCCTTCCTCGTGAGGATTGGGCAAAGGTGATTCTTTGGTGTAAATTGCCTTATGTTGGTTGGCTTCAGCAGCATCATGCCAGATCATTTGCAATCACAGCCAGTTTACAGTGAGTTGGTTTCCTGAGTTGCACCCTGCGCAACAGAGTGCAAATTAGAGTGGCAAAGGTTTACCCCAGACTGTGTAGCAAGAACAATTCCACCCACATAAATGCATCATATGTGCACAAATTCCTGGGTTGAACGGGCTTCACCATGTGCTGCCTTGCTGACTCTGAGATCTATTCTTGCCTTGTTGAAGCCAAGTAATATTTTTCAACTGTGTTCATCAGGAGGATGATCACCATTGTTTCATATCAATATACACTGAGTTGGGAATCAGTTGGGAATCATACATGATAAAAGTCAGCTAAGGGATACTCCCCTTGGAATAAGCAATCAAATTAGTACAGCCTACAAAGATACAGACCTTCAGTTGAGGTTCATGGCAGTATAGTTCCTCTGCAACTAAGAATTAAATCAGAATATTTAAAGCTATATTTACCAGTATATATTTTTCCTTTACTGATGTAACTCAATTGAAGATAGTCAGTTTAAGACATGAAATAGTTGTCCAGGTGGCTCTTTTCACCCCAATGAAAAGATGAGAGCATTCAGAAGAATTTCCTGGAGAAACCTTGAATTTGTATGCTTTTCTCTTAAATTGACTCAGTTCATCCTGCACATGTCATTTCTGTCCTGAAATGAACACAGTATTTTGTTCCATGTCTTTGTGGTGGCTAAGCTAACCCATTGCTAAAGAGGAAAAGGATGCACACACTGCATCTCAGCTGAGAAGTTATGCATGAATACGTGCAGTTTCTGGTTGTTTACTCTTTCAGGTGTAAGACTGAGTCCTTTTATTTTTTAATTTCCCAGTAAATTGAGGTATAGTCTTAAATGGAAACTGGCTTAATACATTATCAGCTGCTGTCAAGGTTATGGTGATTCATGCAGCAGGACAGAAATACAGAAGGCAGCATGTGGCCTCTCTCCAGTTTTCTTCAAATCCCAGGTTTGGTCTACTCCCTGCTTCAGAAACCCACAGGGCCATGGGAAACAAGATGTGTTTCCAACAAGTCCTGTCTATCTGCAGTCGAGGCCATGGTCTCAGAACAAGCAGGAGAGTGATTAGACAGGTCCACCACTGGCTCTCAGCAGGATGTGCAAGCTTTCAGGTAACTGGCAGATGACAGAAATACCTACACTGTGGCATTATAGCCTTGTTCTACATACATGTAATCCTCAATGTTAAATCATGCTGGCTTCTTTATTACTGACATAGAGCATAGGGTGAGGAGAAAGGGCTACATACCCAGCCAACATACACATAAATATTTTAAGGGCATGGTTATTTACATTTATTTTTCCATTGGGACCTGTGGAGTTGGAGCTGCTTTATTCAAATGTTCACAGAAGAGATGGGAAAGCACATCCATTCAGTCTGAGGAAACACCCATGAGAAAAATGTCATATCACTGTAGTTGTACTGCATAACAAACATCAGTGCTGGTAATTAGAGGGTACTTTTAAAGTGTTATTTTGTATCCAAACTATTCCCTTTCAGTTCTAAAACACTTTAAACACCTAGATGTGCTGTACTTTCAGTGATTTTCTGAATGGCTTTATGTTGTGAGTTTACACACACTCATTGCAGCAGAATGTATTTTGTACTCTTAAATGCTTATAATCTTTCACGTGGTTTTAAAATGTAGTTTTACGTGGATCAGCAGTAAAATCTCTGAAGTCAAAGGATAATTGCCAATACAGCATTAATTTATTTTACCTCCTCCCCCCCCCCAAAAAAAAAAAAAAAACTTTAAAAAAGTACCTTGCAGCTACAGAGATTGACAAAATGCATCAATTATGTTTTTGTTCACTTTATAATTACACTGCAGTAAGTGCACAGTGAACTTTCCTACACAGTTGATTAACCATAAGGTTACTGCTATTAAGTTACTTTCATAAACAACTTGGAATTTAATAACAGAACTCTGCACAACATCTGATCAAGTCTAAAAATCTAACATATCCATACAAACTTCAATTTAAAGTATGCAAGTAAACAGTAGCACCTCAAGTGTAGCAAAGGGTTTCCATTATTTTGGTCAGTGGGTATGGGAATGACCAGATCTGTAGGAGGTTTTGGTGTGTTAACCAACACCAACAGACAGGAACTATGTGCACCTTCTGTATTTTTTTTTTCATAGAAATTAGTGTTCCAGCATCTAGGGAATGTTTATGGGGTTTTTCTTCAGATTAGTGCAACAGAAAAAAAAAACAAAAACCACCAACCTGCTGTTACTGTTAGTTCAATGATGATTCACGAGCCCTATTTCTCTTCTGTCTTCTTGAGTTTGTATTTTGAAAAAGCGTTGTGAAGCCACGCTGGTGATATCCTTGAAGTTAATTTATACCACAGATAATAACAGATAATGACAATCTAAACCTAGACTACCTCTTTTTGTAAAAGAAGGAAATTAAAAATAAAGTAATAGGTGTTTTGTGTAAGTAGTAGCTAAGTAAGAAGACAGTGTAGCCTGTTGTGAGGAAACTTGCCTAGGATGTAGGATGCACGAGATCACTCCAACATTCTGCCAGAATTTTTAACAAGATCAGAGGATGTCCTCTACTTTACCTGTATACGCCAGTTCCAAAGGTAACAGCACTTCCCAACTTCATAAGGTACCAAATACAGACGTACAACAAGATGCTTCATCAAGAGGATGGTATAAGCGGATATAAGATACTTCATCAGAGGAATAATAAAAGTACATAAAACTGCAATAGAAATTGGAGCTTATTCCTGTACATAAACTAATGTTTGTGTAATTTATTACAGCTGTACTAAAACAGGTTGAAAATAGAAAAATTCATTACAAAACTACTTTTTTACTTGAGCAATCCACTTTTGTCTGTGCTAGCATTTGAGTAACAGCAGCTAGACAGGGCTGAGGGTCTGTTACTTCTCATTGTCATAAATTTCTGCTCACATTCAGCTGAGTAAAATCTCTCTTATATGGGCCCTCCAGAAAGTGAATGGAATCAGAGCCAGGGCACTCTTGTGCAACATGCCACCCACATGACACAAGCAGAAGATCTAATGTGATGTGGTAACTACTAACCAGCCAAGCTGGAGCTGAGGCTTCTAACCAATTTCTAGTTCTATAACACATCATATTCTCCTCATGGCCACAATTTTCCTCTTTGAAGGTCTATTCCTTATTCACTCAAATCTTCTCCATGTGTCAAGAATATCGTAAGAAGAAAATATTAAAGCAACGGGCATAAAAATCCCCACTCCACTGTTTTACTAAAGCATTTAGAATCTGAGAAAAAATTAGGTGAATTCACATTTCACATGCGTTTAAATTGCTAATCTCACTGCTATATCTGTATTAGTGAATACATTTACAGTAACTTTTACTTTATAATATTTTGGCAGAACTGTTATAAAAATTGTTATAAGGCCTAGGAGTGGAACTGAACCATGAAAGCTAAAATGTAAGCTGCTGTAAAGCGGGGTTATTAGTATGACAAAAAAATTTCACACACAAAAAAGCTTCTAAGCCACAATATTTTGAAAGTAAGAAGAGAGAGGTGGGGAAGTGCAATCAAAGTCATCTCTGTTCACTGATATTTCACTGTACGCTGCCATAATAATTTGTTGTTTGTCTGTTCTCTTTTTCAGGCATTTGGTGATATTACTGGAATAAGTCTTCTGTGTAATGAAGTGAGCACAGCTCAGGAACACGTAAATAAAATGGACAGTATGCTTCATAGATCTTCAGATACCAAGTTGAAGAAGAGAAAGAGGAGTGTGGCTAGGTGGAAAGGTATTATTTTCAGTTTCTGTACCTAGATGGAAAGCAGTACTGATACCTAAACACAAAATTATAAGAGGTACAAAAGGAAACAGGTCATCTGAAAACAAGTTTTCCCTTGGAAAGACCAGAGTATGATTTGTTAGGGAGGAAATTTCACAGTGGTGTTTTCTAGCAAGTCTTCCTCCTTAGGTAGTACCAAAGGTCTGTCAGAAGAGTCCTGAAGGCTGAGGAGCTGTCATTCATTACTCAGGCCCAGTCACGCTTTCCATTCTGCAGCTCAGGATAGCAGTAAAGCAACCCCAGAGCAATCTATCTGGAGCAAGGGCTAGCATTACAAGTGTGCTGAGGGCAGGTGTAAATCAGCTACTTAATTTGTAATTAGGTAGATGTCCACACATACTGGTCTGGGTGCAAAAGTCCAAAAGCATCTGCTGTGATGGCTCCAATCTCTCAGACTTGCACTGTATTTTTCACTGTGTGAAAAATTTTTCACAGTGAAAAAAACAGGGTGAAAAATTCCATTGACTACACTGATGAAAAGTGCACATATATGTCAAATTATTAAGTGAAGTTGCTGCCTATCAAAGGTAGTGTCAAGGTGTTTGATAACAGAGAATTATAGAACACACAGGGTGTCCATAGACTTCCCTATTACTGCAAGATAACACTTTCCTCTTGGTTCTTTTGCAAGATCTCAGTACCAGGTATGGCTTCACCAGATCCATGCACTTATCTGAGACTTTTCAGTGTGAGTTTTCTAATGCCTTCTCAGGAACAAAGGTTGGATAAAAGTGTATTGTGTTACTTTTAAATCCATGGTAATCTTGTCTGCTGACAGAGGAGCCTTGGAAAGTTCACATATGCACAGAAGGCATAGTTTTTTAAATGAAAATAGATTAATTTAGTGTATGGACTCTTGCTTATGTGCCATTCTTGTTGGGGTTATTGGTACACTGTGATCCATGAATTTACAATGTCTTTCTCTACATCTTTTTTTTTTTAATCTTCAGGAAATCACGTTGCTTCCAATAAGAGCTAATTCCTGGAGGACTGCATAGTTCACAGAATTATTTACACCCTGATTTACATCCATACTATGATTACTGTCTGACAGGATTTATGGTTCTGATGTCCACACTTCTGTGCATACAGAATTGTCCTGCAAATGCACCATTCATTACTCTTCTATAGCTTCAACTAACGTTTCACTGTGGGGAGCTCATTGGATCTGTTCATAGATCTGATATCTAGTAATTTTATAAGACTTTTCCTTCCAGATAGTGGGACATTCCCACACTTCTCGGGTTTGCTTATACCTGCTTTCCACTGTAGTGGTAGGGAAAATGTTGCTGATTTCTTTCAAGTTTCATGAATCAAACATTGCTGGTGTTTTCAGTAATTGTTCAAAAACACAACACTATAGTAATTGCAAGGTTACAAAGATTCCTAGAAAAGGAGCAATGATGGCTTCATGCCATGAAATACCACAGGTTCTGAAGCCAAGTCCCAACAGGCTGCGAAATTTATGAGATCCCAGAGGAGAACATCTTGCTGGGGTCTTAATGTTAATCAAACCTACTTCTCTGGAAGTTACAACAACTTAAAGCCTCACGTTTTCTTATCAGTATTCAAGTATTTCTCATTAGTTTGAACCAGTCAGTGCCTATTCTATTTGGCTTCACGCAACTGCATAAGAAACGGAAGTCCATGCCCCAAGGCAAGGACTACAAAAGACAGCAGAAGGAGATGGTGGGAAGAGGAACAGAAGCAAAAAAGGTGAAGTCATTCTTCCAAGGTCATGGAAGTCAGCAGCAAATGAAGAAATAGATGGCAGACAGCCCATGCCCTGACTCCTGGTATTCCCTGTGCTAGAATCCTTTTTGTCCTAAAAATTCAGACAGAAAAAGGAAGAGTCTTAGTTTTCTGCAATTTTGAATCATTCATGTGGAACAGTTAGTTAATCAAATAACATAAGTATTGGTGACATTTTTCCAACTAGTATGTTTTTCTGGTGTCTGTGTGTTTACACTGATCTGTAAAAACTTTTTCAGATGCACTTAACTTTGTAAGATATATCCTGATGTTTTAAACATTGTTGATTAATTTTGTTATGTACATCTATGGTTCTTATCCATCTGAATAATTTTTAAATGTTGTTAGGTAGCAACCTGGAGATTTAAATGTCAATCCTGAAAACACTATTTCTTTGGGTTTGCAGTGTAATGATTTGGTTTCCATTTTTTCCTACTTCTAATTGACTTGTGAGCGTACATGTGTGTGTGTTACATTATGAAAGAATGGTGTTAAAATTATTCTGAATACCTATAAGCAGTGATTTAATTGCTGTGGGTTCTATTGCATCAGGTATCACTTGGATAGCTTCTGTCCATCATACAGGAATAAAATTGCCTTATTCATTTTTGCTTTGCCTGTTGACATTTCAAACCATAGCATATAATTTTGAAAAGGAAGCTAAATGAAGAGAGGCTGTCCAGTCCTATGTTTTTCTTTTTTTTTTTCCCTGTGGAATTTTTCTACCTGAGTGGAATTCACTTTTTACCAATTGCCCCAGCATCTGACAAGAAGCGACAAAAACAGTGTGGTGGAGGTCACTAGGATTGTGTATATGACTGTCCTCAGCTATGAGTTGTGGTGTTTCTTTTCAACCTCCTGCTGCTTATGGGTGACAGTACCAAATAGATAGACTACTGTAGGCAGCATTGTGCTTGGCCCATCTTCTTGGCCTAGGCCAAGCACCATTTATGTTTTTGAACATAAATTAATATAATTGTAAAAATCCATTTGGGTAATAGTATATCCTAGGTTGCCCATCATTGATTTAAGACACTTCAATCTGGATTTGTAAGATTTTGACTTCATTATAGGTATTATGCTAGTATTTAGTTTTATAGAAATACTGAATCTTATTTGTGGAGGTGGATGACCTCTCTTTCAGTTCTGATAGGACTATATTTATTTTTTAACAAATGTAGAACTGGGCTTGAGTCTCTATTTCTCATGAAAGACTTGGTCCACCATTTTTATCCCCTCAGTTATCTTGACATGTTTCCACTGGCTTTCATCTGATCTGGGAGCTACAATTCTGCAACAGTACCTGTTCTTGAAAGCTGAGTTTAAAGTAGGTTTAAATATTAACTAAATTTATCTTATCTTTTTTTTTTCTTGTCTTTTTTCCTGAAAGTGTAGCATACTACCTATTAATTTTGATTACTTGCATCCTGTGAGTTCCTGTGGTTGTTGGTCAGTATACAATAGATGTTACTTGGCTTTGAAATGATTTTCCAAAGTGCTCTTATCAGCAACATAATCCATAATGCTTAGTAATAGTTGGATAGTAATTGCTTGCCTATGCAGTGTTCCTTTACAACAATTTTCTCCCATGTAGCTATATATATGTAGTCATTACTGAAAAGTGTAAATAAAGAATCCTTTTAGTGGTGTAGTTTCCCTAGGTACCTACTGTGCTCTTATTATCTAAAACATACTCCCCATCTGTAGTTCTGTTCTATTAAAGGATAAAGACATAAGTATGAATTAAAAATTAAAATGCTTGTTGTAGATTGGAGTTCAAGGTCTATTAGAATATATCTGGTGCTAGGCTCACAGTACAGTAGATAGATTAAGCACCAGTTAAGGAAGGGGATGAAAAATGAGTGATTTTCATCATTCAGTTAAATATAGTGCTAAGTAGTATGTGCTAGCATTAAAAGCAAATTACTTAGCACTTCACCAATCACAGCATGAGAGCATTCCATTGGAAGCAGTATTTCCACTGATGCTCAGTCCTCAGTTTTATTAAATAAATCAGCTGTTAATGCTTAAGGAAGCAGTCGAAGATGTATTGCTATGAGAATAAAAAGATCGAAAATGTAAAAATAAAGAGAAGCAGTACCTCATTTTAATTAAATGTCCTAGGGAAACCTCCCTGTCTCTTAAAAACAAAAGTCTAAAGTGCTTGTAGATCTGTAATACCTTCTTCAGGTCTTCCTTTCTTACTAATGAATATGACCTTTCTTTTTTTTTTTTTTTTTTTTTCTCTATAATGACATCTTTTTTTCTCATAAATCTGCTGCCATGTCACTGAACACTTTGATGAGCTTTTCTGATCCCCTCTTATATCTCTTTGATAGGATATTATTAACCACTAATCTAGAAACGAGGAGCCTGATCCTCGGCACAGATATTTTATTGCTACTCAGTCAGAGATCATGGAGATCTGAAAATTTACACCAGCAGAGGTTTTGGCACTGAGGGCTACCTTTATATGATGCAGCAATATTATTTCCTCCACAGCTGTTGGGAACAAGGTTTTGCAAAACATCTGCTGTCAGCATATATGGAAGCTGGGAGCAGTCACAAGTTTTAGACCATTTCTAAGCCTTAAACTGGCAGGAGCCATGCAGTGAAGGTCCTGGGAGTGACACAAACTGGAGATGGCTCAGGGTCTGACCAATAGCTGCATCTTCACCAGCAAGATCAAATATTAAAAAGAGAGAAATGTACAGTTCAGATCTCAAAATGAAGAGATTAGGGAGAGCATGGATGAAACTAGTTTGGATCCTTCATTTTCCACCTTGGTGTCACTCCTAGAGGATTCTTACTTTGAATTTTCTTCAATGACTGGGTTAGAAAGTTGTTTTATTTTCAAAAAGAAAGGAGTACAAAACAGGGGACAAACAAAGACAGAGAAGAAAACAAAGAATCTAATGTAAGTACTAATTGCAGGAGTTCATACATGGAATAAAATACCAACTATTTCAGTATTGATTTTAAAAACAATTGTTTCCTTTGGTCAAGAGGGGAAGGACATGAAACAATCAGCTTAAATTATTGCAAATACTTTTTTTTTTTTTTTTTTTGAGATAGGGCAACTGACCATACTGAAGGAATAAGCTATGGCTTATCTATTTTAAGTAAAAAGGTTAGCTGGGGATGTATTGAGTTTTCTTCTGGCACTACATTTCTGGAGTTCAGTAAAAAATCTGCAACAAAAACCAGTACCTTTTCCATTTGTGCTTAACTTGAGTGAAATCAATATAGATTTATACAGAAGAAATTTTTCCACTGATAGCGTAGGATAATGATATTTGACCTGGAAGAAATATTTCATAAAGTCTTGGCATATTTCAAAATGTTTCCTTGTGAAAAAAATGTCAATCTTTTACAACATATGTTCTAAAATAAGGCATGTAAACAGTACTTCCTTCTCTTGGTACAGCAGATTTTCATAGTCACTTGCCTATTTTCTTTTACTTAGATATGCACTCATAAGTTTGGTTTTCTTGTTTTACAAGATATTTATTCAAAGTTCCTCTTAATGCTCAAATGTTAAAACAACATGATTTCTTTTTGGTACCAATACAACATTTCCTTCTAAAAATATTTAATAATATGTAATGTTTAACTTAGCTTTCAAAATACAGAATCCCTTTTTTTCATTTTCTTGGCTGACATGTACTAGTTATGATGGATCTTTTCCAGGTATGCCAATCCTATCATATACACTAATATGAAATAATGACACGAGGTTGACTTAACTAGGGATAATAGGGCATATTTCTAAAACATTCTGTATGGAAGTTACATGCATCGACCTTGCTACTTGTTAATGGAATTGGTGAAGTTCCTCATCTGCACTAAGACATATTTATAACAGCCTTGTACTTCAAAAGTGTAGGGTTCTTACATGATATAATAAGAAAAAAATTAAAGAAAAAAAAAAGACCCCTGAACAGCATTGTTTCAGATTCATTATAGAATTTCATCATGCAACAACATTGAATTTGGAGCAATAAACAGTTATCTTTACATCTAAAACTGGTGTGTAAATGTGTAGGGTAATGTGTAGAGAATGAAAGTAAGACAGATTTCAGTGGCAAGGCTCTGTATTTCAAACCTTTTCAGTGGTTTGTCTGCTGTCCATGCCAAGTCTTCATTTCCCATCTTTTAATTAAAAATTGTTTTTTGAAGGCTTTTTCAATTTTCCACAAATATTATCTGTGAATATTAGATATATTTTAAACTATCTGAGAACTACCTTCTTTTTGTAGAATATTTCCAGAGGTGGAAAATATTAAAATCTTTAAAGTGTTGGGTAGAAATTGGCTTACAGACAACTATTTTTCCTTTATTTCCAGGTTTCCATTTTGAATTGCTCATCTAGTGTCCAAACATTTTGTGGACAGCTGACACTGGAAAGGTTACCATATTACATTGATCTTTTAATGACTCTTAAATGCTGCCTTATGCCTATGAATCAATGGCCTTATGCACACAAACACAGCTAATGAGGGCTGGGTTAAGGACTAATTAAGCAAGCTGGACATCCATAAGTCCATGGGTCCTGATGGGATGCACCCATGGGTGCTGAGGGAGCTAGAAGAAGTCATTGCTAGGTCACTCTCCTTCATCTTTGGTAAGTCATGGGCATCAGGAGAAGTGCCTGAGGACTGGAAGACAATACATGTCACTCCTGTCTTCAAAATGGGCAAGAAAGAGGACCTGAGTAACTATAGACCAGTCAGCCTCACCTCCATAGAATCACAGAATCATAGAATATCCAAGTTGGAAGGGACCCACAAGGATCATCAACTCCAGCTCCTGGCACCACACAGGTCTACCCAAAAATTCAGACCATGTGACTAAGTGCACAGTCCAAACATGTCTTAAATTTGACAGCCTTGGTGCCATGACTACTTCTCTGGGGAGCCTGTTCCAGTGCACAACAACCGTCTCGGTGAAGAACCTCTTCCTGATGTCTAGCTTGAATCTTCCCTGCCTCAGCTTGACACCGTTCCCACTGGTCCTATCACTGGTCAGTCTCTTTAGCTTGGAGAAGAGGAGACTGAGGGGTGACCTTATCAATGTTTATAAATATGTAAAGGGTGAGTGTCAGGAGGACAGAGCAAGGCTTTTCTCAGTGACATCTAATGATAGAACAAGGGGCAATGGGTGCAAACTGGAACATAGGAGGTTCTGCTTAAATAGGAGACAAAGCTTTTTCACAGTGAGAGTGACAGAGCACTGGAACAGGCTGCCTAGTGGGGTTGAGGAGTCTCCTTCTCTGGAGACTTTCAAAACCCGCATGGATATATTCCTGTGTGACATGATCTAGGTGTTCCTGCTCCAGCAGGGGGATTGCACTAGACGATCTTTCAAGATCCCTTCCAATCCCTAACATTCTGTGATTCTGTGTGATCCTGTAATCAGGAACATAATGTTTTTACCTAGTCTGGGGCTGTACTTAGAAGTGGAGGTCTTGTCTGTACTCCTCTGACAGCCAGAGAGATTTTACAGAGAATACAAAAAGGCTACTAGAGGCATAATGTGGTCCAGAAAGAAAATGGTTACAATACTAGTAAAATAAAATATTTAGAGCTGTTGCATTTAGATTTCT